TGTTATTACAGTGACAGTTTCTCATGTTTAAAATTGATACTCCACTGTTCTTTTATTCACCATGTGTATTGGTGACATTCTCATCTGTCTTCTTATCAGTACTAGAAGGCAGCCTGCTTGTTTTCACTGTTTAGTCAGTGGATGGCATTAGTTATTGGCTTTTACACATTCTTTAGATGATGAAGATGATAGGTACCATCCCAAATTTTAGAGCTTTTTGTGTTTCTCACAACAAGCAAATTGTGATTGATCTGTGGAAATATGCTAAATAATTTACATGTGAAGAACCGAAATTCCATAATCTGAAAAGTTCTTAGTTCCAGTTTTTCCAGATAAGGGGTCTGGTTCTGTGTAGATGCAACACATAGATCCTAGTAAGCAAGTCTGAACAGTACATCATATTTATAAAGTACCTAGAAACACAATACAGTTACGTAAACTTATTTCATAGAATAGTTGACCGCATTTGTTAGGCATAGCCCCAGAGTTTAACGTGCTGTCCCTACTTGTGCTTATTAATATGCAGGAAAAATGCTGTGTACAAAATTTGCAGGTATGTTAATTACCAGTAAATATGAAACCAAATACAAATTTCACATGTTTGACATGCTGTTTTCAGGTGTACAAAAAATGTCACTGTTCACATCTGAAGTTTGCAAACCACTATGCTGGTGTTGTGGATGGTAGAGAATTAAAACTTATGGTAGGGTAGTCCAGTGGCTTGATTTCCATGCCAATAAATCTATAATTTGGTTTATAGCAAGGGGCAGACACACTCATGGACATGATTTGTTTATTTTATATGTGATCCATTTAACAGCACTCTTTGTTACTTAGACTGTATAACATCAAATGGTGTATAATGTGAATAATGAATTGGAAAGTAGTTGTGGCCTAATGTAAGGTACTGTCATGTCATGTCATTTTATTTTCCTGGAGGGATTGACGAAAACCATGTAAATTATCAGTCAGAGTAGCCAGTCTCTGGGCTGAGATTTTAACACAGTACTTTTCAAATACAAAGCAGGAGTACTAACCACTCAGTCATTACATTCAATATCACAGTCATGAAGTACAACAAAAGGGAGTAAGGGAGGAAGTTTGCTAAAAGTATGGTATAACATATTGTAACACTTTATAATTTGACCATCTATCATTCATCAGTGCACACAGCACATATGACAAATATTAGAGTTGTAGGAGTTTTACTAGAGGCTAGTAGACAGGTGGGGCTAGAAGTAAATTCAGAAAAAACTAAGTACATGTTAGTATCTCATCGTCAGCAGATAGGCGGGCAGAATTATCTTAGGGTGGTTAATTAATCCTTTGAAGGTGTTACAAAGTTCAAATATTTGGGAACAACAGTAACAAATCAAAATGATACTCATGAGGAGTTAGGCGGAGACTAAATTCCGGAAATGCTTGCTACTTCTCAGTTCAAAATATTTTATCTTCCCATCTGATTTCTAAGAACCTGAAAATTAAAGTATACAAAACAATAATTTTGCCTGTTGTTTTATATGGGTGCAAAACACGGTCTCTCACTCAGAGGGAGGAACACAGCTTGCAGGTGTTTGAGAATAAGGTGTTGAGAAGACGATGGGGCATGGAGAAAACTGCATAATGATGAGCTTAAACATCCGTACTTCCCCAGTATTGTCAGGGTGATTAAGTCGAGAAGAATGAGATGGGTGGGACAAGAGGTGTGCACCGGGTATTGGTTGGGAAGCCTGAGGGGAAGAGACCGCTGGGGAGTCCTAAACGTAGATGGGAGGATAATGTCAGGCGGGATCTATAGGAGATAGGAGTTGAAGGAGACTGGATTTTGTGTTGGCCCAGGACAGGGTCCGGTGGAGGGCTTTGGTTAATTCAGTGATGAACCTTCGGATTCGGTAAGCCATCTAGTTAGTTAGTTAGTTATTAGAGTTGTGGGAAGGTTGCAGAAATTTTATTCTGCTTCCCCCCCCCCCCTTATTTACCCCACTTTTCCAAAACCTTCTGTCTACACCATCCTCACCGTCCTTGCTTTACCCAAACTTCACATCTCCAGCAGTGTTGCAAACACGCTGATGAATCATGTTACAATGTAAGTAGAAAAACTTGATTAAGCAGAGGATTTTTTGAGAAACTAGTAACCACTCAGCTTGTCAAGAAATTCCCCAAGTGACCACTGCCATATTCACAAGAGCCTGGCTCTGGACCTTACCCTGAACCAGATGAATCCAGTCCACATTCTCACACTGTAGATGAACTGAAGTACATATAACCAGAGAATGTAAGCAAATACACATTTTTACATGTCTTGGATTATAATGAAACATGAACAAATATTTATGTATGTACATCAAAGATTTATTTAACTCAATTATTTAAAATTTTCCCCTCCCTCTCCCATCCAATGCTTTATTCCTGAATTTTATTTTTGTTCATATCATCTTCCTTGGATCCCCTATGTTCCACATGTTTCAAGGATTTAACTACACACCTGATAAATCAGTTGACAACCACATTTGAATTACCATGGAATTCAAGTGTTGTATTACAGTGGGGAAACTTGTCCTAATATCCCAAGGCTATATTTCTATCCTCATGTTCCAATAAATTATGTGATCATTATTCTTGTTTATACATAACACCTTCATTGAAGTGCAGTAATCACTGCAACAAATTTGAATATCCATACAAACAATATATACCCCTTGGAAAATATACCTAAATCCTGAAGGTATAAATCTTAATTATCTGCAACTTGAATTAGTGTCACACTTATTGTTATTTCTCGTGAAAGTCAATTTTAAAAATTTTATAAAAATGAAATTGCAGATGAGTACCTTAGCAAATCATGGCAAGGCAAACCTCGTGGTGCACCAATGCGAGTACTTGACATGTGCTGTGGGAAAGGAGGTGATTTGCTCAAGTGGCGGAGGGGAAACATCACCCACTTAGTGTGTGCTGATATCGCAGAAGTTTCAGTTGAGCAGTGTCAGGTCCGTTACAATGACTTGCAGAATAGGAGCAAGAATGAACGAGGTTTTGCTCCTGTCTTCACAGCAGAATTCATTTCTGCTGATTGTACCAAGGTTGGTGCTTGTTTTGTTAGTAAGCTGCTTTTCATATTCTAGAATTTCAGGTTGCTTTCTAATCTGTTGGAAATACTGATGGCTCTTATTTTTATTCCTCAGAAAACTTATGTATGTAAATAGTGGTTGTGGATGCAGTTGAATGCACAATATGAAGGCCCTTGCTTAATGTCAGTTACAACTTAACATGGTACACCCTTTTATAACAGGCTAGGCTGTGGGAACTGAGTCGTGACAGTATAGTCACTGCATTTTATGTGAAGGAAATTTTGCTATGAAAATTTAGCTCATTTTAAGGTTAAATTTAGAGAGGCAGTTTGATTTGATTAATATGTTGAGAGTTGTTTATAACAAGTGCATCTTTACTGACTGAACATTTTAGCAAACTGACCAACTATGGTGGGCATCATAAATAATTAATCCTTTAAAGCCTGACTATGTTTCAATGTACCACCTGCTGTAACATTAAAAGCTCTGCATTTTACCAGCAAAATCTATGAATATTAGAATATTGTTTACTTAAACAATGTTTACCTATTGTTGTTATTATTATATGTAATGGAACTTTTTTGGGGAGGGGGTTTGTTGGAATTTAATATTTAAATGTCATTTGGATGAGGTTTGTGCTAAAGGTGGTTAAGGGACTTACCTTTCCCGTACATTTTTGTATATCATGCAAGTTTTATTTGTAACCTGCCAATTATGTATCCAATGTGTCAGAATGCAGGGAATATTGTCACAGTGAATTCCAATGGACTTCGGAGTGAGTTAAATGTATTGTTCACACTAACAGTTGTCAAAAAAAAGTTTTAGTTTGTATTGGTCATGTCGTTGGTGCTCAATAAGAAAGACTTATGTCAATGGATATTACATTTTGCTTAAAGTCTTTCCACCATACACCAAAGATTACTTTCTGCTTTGCATGAACTAGTAATAAAACTTTCTCCAAAACGAGCTAATTCTACGGAAGAGTTGTATATGACGTTAAATATGAATCTAGGTAAAACCTACAAGTTTTTATTAAAAATGATCTCATGAGTATTGAACAAAACAGAAAATACATTTTATGGCCTAATCATGTTTACTAAATCTACTACATTTTTTAACATCAGAAGAATCGAAGTAATTTTAAAATCACATAGAAATAATCTGGAATGTTGTGAATGGCGGTGATATGCAGGAAGTTTGTCATACTGTTCTGCACAATTCAAATTTCATGAAAATGAAAATGTAAATTTGAGGAGTTGAAAATGAGTTTTCATAACATCTGTATTGTATATAATATTATATTGACTTACTTGACTGATGGTGTTTTTTACTCCCAGGTACGACTTCGGGAGAGGTACAAAGATCCATCCATGGAACTTGATCTTGTGAGTTGCCAATTCTCATTCCACTACTGTTTTGAGAGCCTGCCACAAGCAGAGAACATGGTACGCAATGCTGCAGAGTGTTTGCGTCCGGGTGGTTATTTTATTGGGACTATTCCTGATGCCTATGAAATTATGTGAGTACATATTGAACGAAAGTACTTTAAATCTCATACCATAAGTAATCCCAAATGAGAAAGAACTGCTAAGTATAATGTAGACTTTTAACCTGAGAATCACTGATCCAATTTAAGGTTTTGGTGTAAACATGATAAATGCCTGTACAACATATTTTGAACTGCATTCGTATTTGTGTAGTGATGAGACATGCTCTAAGACAGTTACATCTAGATTTATATGATTTTACCATCAACCTCATGTATTCTTATATAGATAGATAGATAGTTAGTTCCTGTAACTCCTAAGTGGAGCATAGAGCCTCCTTTCGGAGGTTTCATAGTCTTTAAAGTGTGCATTAAGAGTAGTGAGTGATTAGCCCACTGACTCTGCACAAATTCTACTCACTCCTGATTTGACTGCCAGAGCCATCTAGCAGTGAAGCAGTAAATCAGGAGAGACTTGGGTGAGAAATGGTCGCTGAATTTTTGCTTACAAAACATCTTGTGTCATGCTCGCAAGGTTCTTTTACATGCCGTAAATCTACAACATGGAACCGCTGGCTTTACTTCCCCCCCGAAGGAAGTTGTTGACCTTGGCTGGGATTGAACCCGCGAACCTTGGGTCCAGTGGCGAGCATGCTACCACTAGTCCACCAAGGGTGACGTATTCTTATATGGAGGGCTCAATTTTTCTTCATATATGTTTAGAACTCTATAAACCCAAATTTTAAGACCATACCATTTTTTATAATTCAGAATATGTGAATTTTCATACTGATCCTTGTATTATCCAGCATTTATACTCATCAACCAATACGTCACTCATCCTTTAACACTGAATACTACACATATATATGGGGTGCTACCCAAAAGTTCAGGGAATTCGCCCATACAAAATTGCATATCATAACTCCTAGTTTTCACCGTCTCCTTCGAAGTAGTCCCCTTGGGCATGGTTACAACGATCCCAGCATTTTTTCCATGATTCCATGCATCCCTGGAAGTCTTCAAGTGTGAGTGTTTTAAGCACCTCCTGCGATTCTACCTGGATCTCCACAATTGTATCAAAACGACGGCCTGTCAATCAAAATTTTATTTTGGGGAACAGGTCGCAGGGGGCGAGGTCAGGCAAATAGAGTGGGTAGGGAATCACTGTCGTGTTTTTGGAAGCCAAAAACTGCCGAACAACGAGCGATGTGTGGGCGGGCGCATTGTCGTGGTGGAGAACCCAGTTGTTGTTCTCCCACTTTTCCGGACGTTTGCACCTAATGCTCTGCCGTAGCCACTTCAAAACTTCACAATAGAACTTCTTGTTGACAGTTTGACCAGGGAGGGCAAATTTACGATGTTTTCCGGAGTTGTATTTGTCAATGGTCGTCCTAAACGCTCATCTTTGTCGACAGACGTTCATCCACCCATAAAGTATTTGTACCACAAAAAAGTTTTACTTTGAGTCATAGCATTCTCACCAAATGCTTCCACAAGCATGCGGTGGGTTTCTACAGCAGTTTTTTTAAGCTTAAAGCAAAATTTGATGCAGGTTCTTTGCTCCTTAAACTCTGCCATTTATGCAGGTTTAAAAAATCGTCAAACCACTACAACACAACGTTACAAAAATGCACGAGACTCAAGAATGTGGCCTCTTGCCTTCACGGCTGTTGGCACACTAATTCACAAAGGGAACTGTTCGCCCCATCTAGCGGCGGCAGGCCATTCCACAACTGGTTCGCGCGTGGAATTCAAATTCCCCGAACTTTTAGGTAGCACCTCGTATATAGAAATGTACCCATTTCCATGCCATCAGTGCTAAGCTCTCTTATAGAAGCATTTGACATGCAGATTTCCTAATCATGTGAATATTCAGCTCAGACTGTTCAGATTACCAAAGTAACTTGTCAGTTGGCAGTGGTAAATGTGGCAGACATAAATAGTGACAGTGTTAAAGCTGTATTGCTGTAAGAAAACCCATGACCTTGAGTGTTCAGTAATTTAAAATGTAGTGTGTTACATTGTCACATACTGCAGCTGTGTATGCAAAGCCAAATGCCATGTCCAAACTTAACAGCAGTTTATCTATAATGTTTATAGCAATACAGTGATGACAGTGAAAGAAACATCTACAAGCTGTCTCAATTATATTTACAATCATAAGCCAAGACAAGAGTAAGATACTGACATTGCAATACAGTAATACAAAAATACCTAAAGTAGCAAAAAAACTAAACATAGGGCATTAGAAGAGCTTATAAATATTCAGCATACAAAGTGTTAACTGATCCAAATTGTGTTTGGTGTGTTTTCCAAATTTGTTTTGCAAAAATGTTTGACTCAGGATTGCATTGTTTGAATTGAATTAACTGCAACTAAAATGCAACTTGCTCATGAACAAGTGCTAAGAGGCAGAGGTCAAGAGTCTTCATATAGAAGCAGAAATCGAAGCATTACTGAGTGCCAGGGCTGCCCATATGTTGAACTCAGTAGAATGAGATACATTGTCAAGTCCATTTCAGTATTGAACTGAAAAGAATTAAGACTCTGAATCTTTAACATTTCTGGTTATATTAAGACTGAAATACTTAGCATCATTTTATTTATATGTTTATTTTTGTCCTCAGGAACAGGCAACAGAACACAGGTGGTACTTTTGGAAATGAAATTTATAAAGTGGAATTCCAGTGTGACATGAAACCACCATTGCCTCTCTTTGGAGCAAAGTACAACTTCCACTTGGAGGGGGTGGTGGATTGCCCAGAGTTTCTAGTGCACTTTCCTACGCTTGTCAAGTAAGTGGATACTTATTGCTGAATGTTGTCTTGCTTCATCTTTGAGCAATCTCTGACGTAATCATAGGGAGGATACTGTCGTTAAATAGGAAGTGGTTGTTCCACTCTCACTTAAGTCTGCCCCACTTTAAGACCAACTTCATCATCATGCATTGTGCTTTTTTCACTAATAAGGGTCTGATGACCTTGTTATGACAGTACAACTATAGTGGAATAAATGTCATTACCTAATTCCAGAAGATTTTTTCATGAAAGTATAAGAAAATGTCACTACAAAAATGTTGTTTAATCTAATTTTCTTTTTTACAGACAGCCCTGTATATGCTACTTGTTAAACTATCTTAAAGCCGTTTAATGAATAAACTGATTATTCTCTACCTTCCATCTCTTTCCAGTTTGTCATTCATGTTCATCATGTGCATCTTGCATGTAATGTGCTTAGTATTTATTGGTGAAAAGTGATTGATCAAAAGCTGTATAGCAAAATAAAATGCACATTCTGTGTCCAGTAACACTTTTCTGTAAATTGTAATGGTTTTCAAGATGCCATAGTAATTCATACCTTGTGTCATATCATAACTCAAGTACTGTTGGAGTGATTTTTATTAAATTATACATGTTGAGGTTCTTGCATATCTGTTTTACATTTCTCATAAAAGTATATCAAGAGTTAACATTGATAAATTGAATATCTAGAAGAAAGAACAGAATGAGCACAACAGAATTGTTACTGATATATTCATTTCTTATAAACTTATCTCTCTTAGTCCAGAATGTGATTTATTCCCATCTGCTTGTTTAAGGTTGGCAGAGAAGTATGGACTCCAGCTAATAGCCAAGGAGCATTTTGGTGACTATTATCAGAAAGTAAAGGAAGAGGGACGGTCACTCCTGGGGAAGATGCAAGCTCTTGAGGTACTGCTCTTTATTTTCACATTTTTAGTATGAATTTCGGGTCTTGAGAAAACAGTACATTTGGTTTAGGGCGGTATCGCACTAGGATGCCTACGGGAGGCCATGGCACAGCTGCCAGCATCTCGGCCAAACTCAGTGTATTAATTTAGTAGTCATATATAGCACCTGGCATCCATCTGGCAGCGCTTCCAACTTGGCATTGCTGCCAACCAAGATGCCAAGTGCTAATGCTACTGGCATCGTTGCCACGGCCAAGGCCAAATCAACATCACACGACAGTCTGAGGCCAGTCCATTGACGTCCGTGCGATGTGCTTGTGTGTATTTCTATTTCTTTCAAACATGGACAATTTCGACACCGAAAGATTGGTAATTGATATTCATTCCTGACCATCAGTATGGGATTCATCTGCTATTGAATACGCAAACCGGGACTTGAAAAAAAGAAACTGGGAAGAACTTGTGGGAATATTTGGAGGAGGAGATTTATCTACAATAGAAAAGAAAAAAATAGGTAAGAAGTGTTTCTATGGCTTTATTTGTGGGGCTGCTTTCCAATATGGCAACTTGATTTGTAAGTTTTTTTGTTCTTTTTGTTTAACAATCTATATGTCACCACTTTAACAGTGTATGTAATAATGAAAAATAATAATATAATAAGAATGTAATTCTGTTCACGATTGCAAAAGTTGTATGTACAGAAATAACTCCTATCTGCATTTTCAATCTGAAGTGCATTAATAAGTTTATTATTAAGTAATGATCGCTGTTCCACTTCTTAATTGCTATTTGTTCAGGGAGACGCGCCTTTAATGCAAATTTAAAAAAAGTGTTGTGGTTCGCGATCTTGTCTCTTACCATGATATAAAGCTAATATGCTCAATGTTGTTCAAAAACTAGAAAGTCGGGTTACCAAATTGGAAAGTACAGCATTATTTGTTGTTACACTGCATAAACATAATATATGAAAAAGAGTTACATAGTGATTTAAAATTATATTTTGCCATGTCAATTTATCATCCTATCCTGCCATGGCAAAGGATTATCATTGACAAAATAATTTGCAAATTTGTCACGAATAGTAAGTGCTGACTTTCCCCCTCTAGACAAATCTCTGCCCATTTCCATGTCACTTTGAAAGCCTGTTACTTGTAGAGTATCATCATACTTATAACCCTCTCTTGAAAGTACAAAATTGTGCAGGACACAGCAAGTCTTCACAATTTTTATTGCCAAAGGTTTTCTGTTTCTTTTTTAACTTTTGTTTCCTACGCCGCACTACGCAATTACTGCTATTACCTCTTCAACATCCATCTTGAAACTGCTGTTCGCTCGACTGGCGTCGAAAAGCTGGCAGCTTGTCTGGCGTATTTTTCTGGCAGCTGGGCACCATGGCATTGCTGTTGGTGTCGCTGCCATGGCATCCTAGTGCGATACCGCCCTAACAGTATTCATGTGGCACAGGATTGGTACCAGTAACATACAATATGGCAATGAAGCTTTGAGGTCATAGAAAGTGGCAGTTTTCTTGGCCAGGTGAATGACTGTTACTTCCCAAGGACTACTCTTGGAGTTAATTGGTATCCTATCTCATGCCCCTAGCTTTCTATGGTGAGGTTCCATGCTAAATATTGTAGGAATTTGCAATTGTTTGGAACAAGTGTGGACTTTTGTGCTTGCTTTTCCCATGTGTAACCTCGCATAAAACCATGAAGTCATATTTGCAAAACCATGGTTCTGAGTCCACATTTAGCTGAAGAATGTGCTCTTTACTGACCATAATCTTCATAACCGCTTTGATATTGGAGGTAGACAAGGTCCTATTTTGTGGCTGCCCTCTGCTCAGAAGTGATTCATTTTCTATTGCTGGGTGAGAAAAGGGAAGAAGAAAGGACCATTACTTGATGCATTAAAAACGTTTTAATTATGTCTTGTTTGGGTACAAGTTACAAAGTTTACTTTTGTGCACTTTACATGGGTATACTAATACAAAAGAGTTTGTCCTGGGGACTGGTACTCAGTTTAAGAAACAGGATCACTGGACATAGAATCTGCTTAATGGGTGCTTCAGTCTCAGAAATGGATTCCATCACTTCGTCAGCCAAACAAATGCCAATGAGATCTTGGGCTCCAGCTACACACATCCTTTTTTATAGTTCAGAAGATTTAACAACTTGGTGTGAGTTCACTGTGTTTCATGAGCATACCCGTGTTATAAGGTAATAACTTCTTGTATCCTTTTCTGTACTACATGGAGCATAGGGGCCTCCTTGTGGAGGTTTGTGATTTATTTTTAGACATTTGGTAGGGACTTCTTGGATGAGTGATCAGCCCACTGCAAGGCCTCTACGAAATATATGGGTGAGAAATGGCAGCTGAATTTTGCTTACGAAACGTATCGATCATGCTCATAAGGTTCTTTTACTTGCTGTAAAAATATGGCATGGGACCGGTAGCTTTATTTTCCCTCTGAAGGAAGTTGTGTTACACATTTTTATCGCCCTTAAAAATTCATTGACCTCGGCAGGGTTTGAACCTGCAAACCTTAGGTCCCGTGTCAAGCACACTACCACTAGACCACCAAGGGCAACATAATAATAATTTAATCACATATTTTAACTGTTCAAGCTGTGAGCCCATATATGATCTTGCAGTGTTTGAATGTTTCAGTTGGTAATACCTTGAGTACTCACTTGCTAAATGCAGCCTCAGAAAAATTGTAATTGCTGTGCTGTTGTAGTAAAATTGAACTGGCTAGCATTAGCCCTCAAAATATTGTAGCTTCCACTGGTCAAGTATGAAGTCTCATATAAGAGGTATACAGGATCTTTTATGACCTTCAAATCAGCTTCTTGGTGGAATTCAATATGGCACTGCCTCGTACATCACACTGTCCAGAAATGTGTTAGATTGGATGTTTTGAAACAATCTAGTAATGAAGTAATGTGTGAATGTAACATTGGTAGTGAGATAGATCCTGTAAATTCTGAATCTGATGATAGTTTTGCTTGTTATATAACAACAAACATAATTATAATGAATTACATTTCTGATTATTCCCAACATCATTTGTAAGTTTTATGAATTCTGTTTAGTAGTTTCTAAAATATGTAAAAGTGAAATATTATTTTTAAATATACTTCTACAAGGTATTTTTAAATGCTGTCACAGTGTCTACAGCTTGAATCTTCCATAAGTAACTTAAGGGAGATGAGAAGACCTCATCATCATTGCTTTTCTGTTTACATTTATGCTATTATAAGCACTTTTTGTATAAGGCTTTTTTCCTCTTGTTTTGCAGACATACCCTCCCTTCCATGAAGCACCATTGCTAGGACATGTTCCAGATGATTATGAACATGTGCAGCAGTACATGCAGAAATCCACAGGACATCGGAAAGTTGGAACTTTGTCTAAATCTGAGTGGGAGGCAGCATGTAAGTACCAGTAGTTCTGTTGCTGTATTTAGTGCATGCATATTTTCTCAGATTGTTTATTCATGTAGTAACAGAGAAGGCTTTTTCTAGCTTTTTATTGCTTTATTTAGCATGTTCAGTGGATAAATAGCAGCTTCCAGTTTGTTTTTGGGTCATTTACTGCATCTGTTTTAAATGAAGTGGGGTACTATCACACCATCTGAAAATCAGGCACCACTTCACCAATCCATACTTTATTGAACAATGATGCACATAAACGGTAAATGAAAGCCAACAAATTCTGATGACAGTTGTCACATTGTTACTTGGTTTGTATAGTTTTGCAAAAACCCTGCACATGACTGCTTGTGTGGACAAGTTGTGAAAGATGAAGATGATTCCTAATTGAACAACTTCATAAAAAGTCATAAAACACTTATGAAGAGGAAAAAGCTTGAATTTCAAAGAGTGTGCCAATGTAAGAACATATATGTTGTATTTTTGTGTAAAGGGTTAGTGCTCCATATGCTTGCAATTGGTGATGAAATGGTGGCAAAATAAGTCTTTTGCTGAACCCAGTCAAATTTGAACATACACGTATTCTTGTTCTGCATTATTTTGCAATAATAAAAATATTAATTCAAATAGATATCTATATTCCATTTTAGATTGAGTGATTCTTTGTAACTGCTTGCCGTTCAGATACTATTGTTGGGCTGCCATCATTTGAAACTTCAACCAGACTTCATGGTGCCTGAAATCTCATCTGCTGCCTGTGTTTTTTATATTAGGTCTGCAGTTTTACAGAATTTAACCTTATTTTGTCCCCATTCATCATGCTCTTTCCTGAGCCTGTAGGACCGCATTTTTAAGTGGCCTTTTAACTCTTATATTATCGCTGTGTAAAATGCACACACATTTCGAAAATCTTACATATTTTGGAATTAACAATTTATATCAACATAAAACTTTGTCAGCTTGCTTACAAGACTCTGAGGATTATGTTTTGGCATTTACCCCCAAGTTGTGCATTATGTTTGAACCTCATCACCTATTTCCTTATGATAATCCAAAAATCATCCTAAGCTGCACAGTGGAAGGTCATATTGTTTGCACTTGTATTATGTTTGTTTGCCACATCCTGAAGGTGCCCATGTTTTTCTTTGCATACACAATCCACAAATCTTTGCCTGCCCCATAATTTTTCTAAGCAGTGATACTGTTCCTATCTGCAAACTTCTCTTCCTATCTGTACGCTTACACAATGTGTAAGTTCTGATCAGTTGCTGCACTAAATTTTTCTGGTAGGTCAGCTGCCTATTGCTATGAGCAGCATGGGATGGTTTGCTTGTCATGTAATATAAGATGAAACTATTCACAGAATGAAACACATATTTCCACCACTTTTTAGATGAACACCTCACTTCATAGTATTCATGTAACTGATCACTGAGGTCCACTCCTCCTATGTTACGTAGAAGATCAAGGATTCTGATATATATATATATCAAAATTCCAATATAAGCATCAATCTCTTCTACATGGTTTCTTCCCGTTTGAAATCATTTACATACAAATTTCTTCATGTGAAAGCAGCAGATCTGTTTGTTTCATATGCTGCCATCTCAAAAAAGGATCAGTCTTTTTTATCATATCAAGCAGGTAGATTATGAGATGGACCTTGTACATTCTTGAAAGGATCTGGGTCTTCATATTCAAAGTCATGTCCCATTGCAGGTCACTTTTTTGTTGTGTGTGTAAGACAGAATAATTTTCCTATCTTGCACTGTTTCAACTTCTTCCTCTCTTTCACTGTAAGTGCCAGAATAGGATTCAGAACTTGAAGCCATGACCTTGATCTCAACACTTAGATTACAGCTGAGATGAGCTAAGCAAAACCAAGAATAAAGATGCTATGAGTTTACATTGATGTCAGTGTTATTGTTTGTTAATTAATTATTGCCTCACTGCTGCATCCTAAGCAGGAACAATGTATTGAAAGGTAACAGCGGCAACCACATTCAAGTGAACTCAAATCTTCTTGTCACTGGATGGCATCAAAGTGCATTTTGTCATGGAGAGTGTTCAGGCCAGCATGGCAATTTGAGTGAATATTCTACAGCACCATGCCCAGCAATGGGTTAAGTTGTTGTTTATACACACACATACAAGACTGAAGCCATAGTGTTGCTTCCATTTCTGATGTTTGTATAGTGACCATGTTTTACTTTCTGTGAAATAATGTTCATAATGAGCTTCATGGTTCAAAAAGGAAAGCCTGCAGTCCCATGTCATAGGTTTACAGCACATAAAAGAACCTTATGAGCATGAACGAGATGTTTTGCAAGCAAAATACAGCAGCCATTTCTCACCCAAGTCTCTCCTGATTCTCTACTAGATGCTCTAGCAGACTAATCAGGATTGAGTATAAATTCTGCAGAGGCAGTAAGCTTGTCATTCACTACTACTCACAAATGCACACTTCAAAGACTAGGAAACCTCCCACATGGGAGGAGGCCAAGGCCCGATGGGATGTAGTGCCTTTGGATGGATGGTTCAAAACTTGTCATAGGGGACA